GATTACTTATAAGTAGAGAGAAGAATAGTGGTTACCAGAGGCTGGGAAAGGTACAGTGGAGAAGAGATAATGGGAGGTTGGTTAATGAATGAAAAATACAGCTAGTTAGGAGGAATAAGATCTGAAGTTCTCTAGCACTGTAGTATGTAATTTGCAACAATTTATTGTACACTCACAGTTACCTAGAAAAGAAGATTTTGAATGTTCCCAACACAAAGAAATGATAAATGTTTGAAGTGATGGACACGTTAATTAACCTGATTTGGTCATTACACGTTGTGTACATATTTAGAAATATCATATAGTACCCATAAATATGTATAATTATTATGTGTCTATTAAAAATTTTTAAAAAGAAATCTCTTAGCATTCTTTTTTCAAAAAGAAAATTAACTTGGGGCCAGCCCGGTGGCGCACTGTAGCTCCCGCCGAGGGTTCGGATCCCACATACAGACCGGCCGCTCACTGGCTGAGCGAGGTACGGGCGCAACACCGAGGGTTGCGATCCCGTTGCCAGTCCCGGTCCGGTAAGGGCGCGACACTGAGGGTTGCGATCCGTTGCCGGTCACGAAAAAAGACAAAAAGGAAAAAAAAAAAAAAAGAAAATTAACTTAAAATGGATCATACACATAAATGTGAAATTTTAAAACTTTTAGGAGAAAATCTTAATGACTTTGAGTGAAAGAGTTCTTAGATATATGACATCAAAGTAATATCCATAAAAGAAAAAATATGTAAATTGGACTAATTAATATAAAAAAACTTTTCTTTGTGAAAGATAGTGTTGAGTGAAAAAAAAGCCACTGACTGAGAGAAAATATTTGCAAATTTCCTGTCAAAAACTTTATTCAGAGCTCAAATCTCAACAATAAGAACATAACCCAGTTTTTAAATGAGCAGGTTTTGACAGACACTTCACCAAAAAAGATTTAGCCATTACAAAATTGCAAATTAAAACCGTAATGAGATAGTAACTATACCTTCATTAGAATAAGTATACTAAAAAATACTAACACCAGGTGCTGGGAACTATGCCGAGCAAGTGCTGGTGATCGCCAGTGGGAATGCAAAATGATACAGACATCCTGGGAAATACATCGGTGGTTTTCTGCAAAGTTACCATGTGACTTAGCAGTCCCTTTTTTCATACAAAACCCCCTGTGTAAATGCCCGTAGTAGCTTTATCCATAATAACCAAAAACTGGAAATCGTCCAGATGTTCTTGGCTGTTAATAGAATAAGCTGTAGATCATTCTTATGGTGAAATTCATTCAGCCATAAAAAGGTGCAAACTTGATACATGCCACAACCTCAAATGTATTGTGTATGCTAAGTGAAAGAATCCAGACTCAATAGGCTACATACTTTCATTTATATTAAGATGTGGAAAAAGTGAAACTATAGGACAGAGAATGGATCATTGGCTACTAGGGGTCAAGATCAGAGATAGACTGCAAAGTAACAGGACAAGAATTTGGGGGAGGTAATGGAACTGTTCTTGAAGTGTCAGCAGGGACTGAATAATAGAAACTCTTAATTTGCTTTAAAAATATAAACTGCTATAGCCACTTTGGAGAGCCATTTGGCAAGTTTTGGGAAAGCTGAAAATGGTCATATGCTACAACACAGAAAGTACATTTCTAGATATAAACCCAAATGAACTCATACATATGCACAATGAGAATACAAGAGTATTTACAGCGGTATTCATAATTTTAAAAGTGGGAGCAAGCTAAAATGTCCAACAGGAGAGTGGCTAAATAGTAATTTCTATAATTGATACAAGGTTTTAAAATACATAGAATCATAACTATGTTTTTATAGATAAATATGACATATTAGAATTTTCATAGGAATTTTATTTTTATTTATTTTTTGGTGGCTGGTTTTTTGTTTTTTGTTTTCAGTACAGGGATCTGAACCCTTGACCTCGGTGTTACCTGGCTGTGCCGTAGCCAACTGAGCTAACTGGCCAGCTAGGAATTTTAAAAATTAAACTCAGGATAATGTAGGAAGTATAATGGGAACCTAGGGGACTTCAGCTGTATTACTAATAAGTAATTTCTTATTTGATGATATTTAGTAGTTAAATGCTTAAGTGAAATTAAACATATTTCTTAGATCTCCTTATTCTTTAATGAAATATTTTATGAAAAAATAATTCAATATTTTTTGAATAATTCAACATATTCACAAGTTTTTTACTAGTGTTATCTGGAATATTGACTAGTGGAGAATGTGTTACTTTCAATAAAGCAAATCTCACTTGGTTAGAGCATGATGCCGAACACACCAAGGTGAAAGGTTCAGATCCCCATATGGGCCATCTGTCAAAAAACATACACATATACATACTTACATAAGAGTAAAACAGTTTTTTAAAGTTAAACTAAATGAGTAAACAGATGGTTTTATTTTTAAAATTTAAAGAGGTAAATGTTAAAGATCACCATAACCCTTGAATACTCAAAATGGGATAAACTAGTTAATGGGTGATGTTCAAGAAAAATATTCACTTATAAGTATACAGAAGAAGGCACTGGTGTTTATAAGTATACAAGCAGTGCTTTAGTCCATGTTTATCAGTTCCTTTTCCATAATGGTAGTAGCTTTCTGGGGACTTAGTTTCATTTCTGTTGGGATCTTCAGGGGCTCCAATCAGTAGGATCCCTTTTCCCCACTGTAGTTCTGAACCAATTGGGAAATAAAAGTGTTAGCATGTGGAGATTCAGAATAGCTAGGACAGGGGAAGCAGCTTAGTAGCGAGACAGTCAAATTGGTCTTGCCCATTCCCAACTCGCCAACTCCACCTCCCATCTAACTCTAGACTAGACCAACTCCAAGGAAAGTTTGCATCTGCAGAACAGACACTTGCTGAGATCACTGTTTCCTACTTACTGATCCAAGGAGAGAGGGAAGGAAAAAGAGACCAAACCCCACCATCCATGGAACTCACTCTGCCTCCCTGGATAGGATATAGGGGTCGGGTAAAAGGCCAACAGTATTTAGTAAAAAAAATTCCATGCGGTCTGGAGTGAGAGAAGAATAGTTTTTGCCCTTCCCCCCACATTTCATTTTGTCATCTTCAAATTGTCGTGAATATTTTCTGAATATTAGTGGAGCTTAACTTTAGTATTTAGTTTTTAGCTGTATTCACAATAGAGAAGTCATATTGTCATATGACTTTAACTCTTGATTTTTAAAGAAGTATGTCTTTGAAGAGCATTTCCTATGGCCTTGTACAATACCATGTTTCTTTGGGTTAGAAAAGTAGAGAGTAAATACTTCAGACACCTTCATTGTTTTTCTAGTATTTAGTTCTACAGACGTATAGTTTTACAAACATAGTCACTTAATCATTACCTCCTATGATCAAGAATTATATTGGATATGATTTAGCATATCCTGCAGCCTAATGGAGAAGACAGACAGTATTAGTGATACTCACTACCTTAGAAAAATGAACAGAGTGTCTTGGTTATATAAATGATGGAGAAATTAATGAGAACTGATGATATATTTAAGAAAACATTACTTCTATGTTAAAATACATGCATGAAGACTTTGTAAAGTTTTGAATTGGAAATTCTATTTCATTACTCATTCTCCACCCATTCTCATGGAAGTGGCATACTGGTCATTTCAAATGAGTTAAAGTTATTTGGTCAAAGTTGGACTCTTTGAGCTATATGTTTTGTTAACTCTTATTTTATCCTATCAAGGTATTACAGAGGGGGAAAATATGTGACATGACATTTTTGTTTTATTAAGCCCATTAAATTAAAGGCTGGTGGTAGCATACCGCTACTCAGAGAAAATAACTCATTAGATGTCTTCAATGGCAATTCAAAGGAAATCTTTATTCTTCATTCAGTAAAATTGTATTTTAATTGTAAAGTCACAAATGAGCAACGAGAGCCAAAAACATAAACTGACTGTGTGGGGGGGGGCACCCCACAGAAAGGGAAGAACACACATTATAGAGTCAGGCCAACCTAGGTTCAAATCCTAGTTCTGAATAATGCTGGCCAAGTTCCTGAATCTTTCTACCTGTAAGCAATGATACCTACTTCATTAGGTTCTTTTAGACATTAATGCTTAAAGTCTTTCTAAGGCTACAATATAAAGGAAGTCTTCAAACAAGAATGGGCCATTGTATTTAAGAAATAATTTAGTGCCCAGTAATAAAACTGCCTATAAAATTTGAATAAAGAGGATGCTAATAATGTTTACTTTGATAATACAGTTCATTTCTTCCTGTCTGAAAATGCAGAAATTGTTATTTAAGGGGTGAAATCTCAGGACAACTTAAGTGTGCAGCCATAGGATGACAGGTAAATAAATGATTGAACATCATAGGAATAAGAGCAGTTGTGAAGAGTATAGAAAAGATAACATTTTTAATGCGTTACAGCAAAAACAGGACATATGTATCTTAGGTGTCTTATAGTTACACCTAGATTTTAATAATGTGCACATAAACTGAAAAGAAACTTACCAATTAATCACATTGGTTGTGGGCTGGCTGGTTGGCATAGTTGGTTAGGGCACTGCCTTGTAACACCAAGGTCAAGGGTTCAGATCCCCATACAGGCCAGCTGCCAGAAGAAGAAAAAGTAAGCAAAATAATTACATTGGTTGTTAGAATGGGATTATAAGTGATTCTTTTATTTTCCCTATTTGTCAGTGCCATGAGATTGCTTTTATAATGAGGAAAATATGTAAGACGGTTATGCCTCGTGGAGCAAAGAGTTTCTTCCCTTTATAGACAAAACACAAACTTTAGATTTCTTAATACTTGGTTCTGTTTTTAAGACAACCAAAGAAATATACCATTAGTCTTAGGGTTTTTTTTTTAACTACCTAGGCGTCAGTCTTTTATCTAATATGTGTTTCTGTCAGCAGTCATAATTCAGTCAACCATGTTGACTGTGGATACTAGAAAAATTCAAATTAATATCTTTTTTACAGCAGTGTTTTCCTTTGTTTTAATGTAACAGATTTATTTGAGGTTCCTCGATTACCAAATGGAGCACTCAAACGAATGCAAGAGAAACTTCGTTGCAGTCTATGATGGAAGCAGTTCTATTGAAAATCTGAAGGCCAAGTTTTGCAGCACTGTGGCCAATGATGTGATGCTTAAAACAGGAGTCGGAGTGATACGAATGTGGGCAGATGAAGGTAGTCGACTTAGCAGGTTTAGAATGCTCTTTACTTCCTTTGTGGAGCGTAAGTAAATAATTTCTATAGCATTTAATTCTTTTACATAATTTTCATTCATTCACAATACACTTACTGAGCATATGCTTTTGACAAAAACTGCAAATCACAGAGGATGTAGAGATGACTAAGTCTTGGTTCCTATTCTTAAGGAATTGACTGTCATGGATGAAAAACCATGTTAACATATAAATTGCAAAACTACCCCATTACAAAGGTGTAAACAAATGATAAAAATTGCAGGGCCGGCCCGGTGGCGCACTGCTACAGTGCGCCGCTTGGGAGCGCGGTGGCGCTCCCGCCGAGGGTTCGGATCCCACATACAGACTGGTTCCCGCTCACTGGCTGAGCGAGGGGCGGGCCCAACACTGAGGGGTGCAATCCCGTTGCCAGTCCCGGTCCGGTACGGGCGCGACACTGAGGGTTGCGATCTGTTGCCGGACACGAAAAAAGACAAAAAAAAAAAAAAATTGCAGAAAGTGGAGACTTACACACTTCCAAGACTTTCTAACTTAAAAATAATTATCAGAAGTATTAATTCAGCTCAGTGAATAGTTATGTATCTACCAAACCATGGTCATCAAAGATTTAGGTATGCTAGTGATGTTTTCTTTTTTATCATTTTATTTTTAAACAATTTTAAACTTACAGAAAGTTGTAAAAATAGTACAGAGTTCCCATGTGCCCTTGACTCTGATTCCCCTAATGTTAGCCTCTTACAAAACCATAGTAAAACTGAAAACTAACATTGATATAATTATATTAACCAATCTAGACCTTATTCAAATATCACTAGTTTTGCCATTAGAGTCCTTTTATGACCCCAAATCCCAAAGTTTTTCTTGGTTTTTCATCACCTTGACACATTTGAAGAGGACTGGTCAGTTATTTAAAATGTCCATCAGTGTGATTTCATCTAAGATTTTCTTAAGGATTCAATTGAGGATTTATGCATTTCTGTCAAGAATACCACAGAAATTATGTTGTGTCTTTCTCAGAGTGTTATATCCATGAAGTAGGAGTGTATAATATTGATTTGTCTTATTGATAGTATCAAACACAGTACCTCCTATGATAAATGTTAAATAAATGAGTGCAAGACAGCCTGTAGGAAGGTTGTTGGCCAAAGTGGCTTCATAACCCAGCTGACCATCTGGCAACTCACAAAGTCCTTTATTGAAAGGTTTATGATTACTTCTTCAATGTTTCTAGCTGTAAGTCTATCCAGATTTTTTATTTCTTCATGACGCAGTTTTGGTAGATTGTATGTTTCTAGAAAATTGTCCATTTTATCTACATTATCAGTTTGTTGGCATACAGTTGTTCCTAGTATTCTCTTACATTGTAGTCTTCCCTAATCTGTAGGGGATATGTCCCAAGACCTCCAGTGGATGTCTGAAGCTGAAGATAGTACCAAACCCGATTGCCATTGATTGGAACATGTTTCTGCTCATGTCTTCCACCTACAAATTTAATGCTTTTTTTAACTAAGCTCTTGTCACACACTATGGCCATAACTTTTGCAATTTGAAGTGCGACAACAAAGCTGGCATGAATTTCTTTTTTCCTTCTTCACAACTTCACAGATAAAGGATTTATTCTTAGCATAGATCTTAATGACCTTAGCATATGATTTTTTTCTTTCTTTATTAAGTTGAGAATTTTCACCTTTTCACTTAAAGGAAGCACTTTATGGCTTCTCTTTGGCATATCTGCATTACTAGCATCACTACTCTTGCACTTTGGGGCCATTATGAAGCAAAATAAGGGTTACTTGAACTCCAGCACTGCAATACCACACCTGCTAAGTGACTAACTGGTAGCATCCACAGCATAGATACCCTGGACAAAAAAATGATTCAGGCCAAGGGCAAGACAGAGCAAGATTTCATCAAGCTACTTAGAACAGCACACAGTTAAAAACTTATGAACTGTTTGTTTCTGGAATTTTTCACTTAATATTATCAGGCCACGGTTTACTGTGTATAACAAACCTCAGAACACAAAGTTGAGGATGAGGGGACTACTATAATCCTTTTTATGTATATAAGATATGTAGTAATGTTCCTACTCACATTTCTAATTTTAATAATTTGAATCTTTTTCTTTTCTTTATTTATTTATTAACATTATTATTTTTTACATTCTAAGATGTTGGAGAGTAGTTGAGGGGGAAGGGAAAGAGAGAGGAAAATAGGGTGAGAGGAGGAGGAAGGAAGGAGGGCATGGTTGGGGCCATGGCACCCCCCTCATTCCAGCAGGGAAGACCAGGGGGCTTCCAGTGATAACTAAGTTGTTGCTAGGCTAAATACAGATGTCAGGGGGTGTGGCTGAAACCCTTGGCCCCCCAACACCCCAGCTGGGGAGCCTGGGGCACTTCCTGCAGTGGCTCACTGGTCATCGCTGTGCTGATTGCGGATGTCAGGTGGCGTGGCTGAAGTCCTCAGTCCCCCACCACCCTGGCTCAGGAGCCCAGGGCATTTTCTGTGATGGCTTGGTGGTCATTCTAGCTAAAGGTTTGTCAGTTTTGTTGATCTCTTCAAAGAGCCAACTTTTGGAGTTTTTATTTTCTCTGTTGTTTTTCTGTTCTCTACTTTACTTATCACCACTCTAATCTTTATTATTTTGTGACTTCCACTAGTGTCAGGTTTAGTTTGCTCTTTTTCTAGTTCCTTAAAGAACAGGTTGAGTATCCCTTACCCGAAATGCATGGTACCAGAAGTGTTTCAGATTTCAAAGTTTTTTGGATTTTGGTATGTTTGCATTATGGGATGCAGTTCAGCATCCCAGATACAAAAATCTGAAATCTGAAATGCTCCAATAAGCATTTCCTCTGAGTGTCATGTCAGGTTCAAGAAATTTCAGATTTTGGAGCATTTCAGATTTTTAGATTTGAGATGCTCAGCCTATACAAAGTTAAATTATTGATCTGTATTCTTTTTTAATGTAGGCTTTTGCTCCTATAAATTTCCTTTTTAGCGTTGCTTTCACTATTTCTATAAGTTTTGGTATATTGTGTTTTTGGTTTCATTTGTCTCCAGGTATTTTCTAATTTCCCTTGTGATTTCTTCCTTAAAATCACAACTTTGAAAGTTATATAAAAGTGTGTAGTTTAATTTCCACAAATTTGAATTTTCCTGTTTGTCTTATGTTATTGATTTCTAGTTTCATCCCATTGTGACAGGAATAGAAATTTTGTATGATTTCAGGCTTTTAAAATTTATTATGACTTATTTTGTGGCTGAACTTATGGTCTATTCTGGAGACTGTTCACTGTGCACTCGAGAAAAATGCATATTTTGGGGTGGAGTTTTCTGTGTATGTCTGATAGATCCAATTGATTTATAGTGCTAAGTTCATTATTTCCTTATTGATCTTCTGTCTGGTTGTTCTATTCATTATCAAAAACAGGGGTGTTGAAGTCTCCAACTGTTATTTTAGAGCTATTTCTTTAATTCTGTCAGTGTTCACTTTATGTATTTTGGGGCTCTGATTTTTTTTCCTTTTTGTCTTTTTTACTGACCGGTAACGGGATCGCAAGCCCTCGGTGTTGCGCCCGTACCGGGGACCGGCAACGGAATCGCAACCCTCGGTGTTGCGCCCGCACCGCGCTCAGCCAGTGAGCGGGAACCGGTCTCCACATGGGATCCGAACCCTCGGCGGGAGCACTGCCGCGCTCCCAACCGGGCCGGCTCGGGGCTCTGATTTTTAACACATGTATGAGGTTACTTCAAAAAGTGCATGGAAAAATAGAATTAAAAGATGAAACAAATCTTTCCATGCACTTTTTGAAGTACGCTGGTATGTTTATAATTGTTATATCTTCTTGATTAATTGACCCTTTTATCAATATGTTATGTTCTTCTTTGTTACTTTTAACAGTTTTGACTTAAACTGTATTTTTGTCTGTGATTAGTATCACCAGTTCAGCTCTCTTTTGGTAGCTATTGGTATGGAATATTTTTTTTCATCCTTTCACTTTTAACCTTTTTCTATCTTTAAACATAAAGTGAGTGTTTTGTAGACAGCATATAGTTGGATCTTGGTTTTTTTAAATCCATTCTGCCAGTCTCCTCCTTTTGATTGGAGAGTTTAATTCATTTACATTGAAAGTAATTACTGATAAGGAAAGACTTTTGCCATTTTGCTATTTGTTTTGTATATGTCTTATCGCCTTGTTGTCCATCATTTTCTTTATTACTGCCGTCTTTTGTTTTTAATTGATTTTTTTTGTAGTGACGAGTTTTGGTTCCCTTCTCATTTCCTTCTGTATATATCCTATAGATATGTTCTTTGTAGTTACCATGGATATTGTGTCTTTTAATGAAGTGCTTAAGTCTTTTAAAGTTACCTTTACTATTTGGTGAGCATGTAGGAACTTTTTCATATTAAAGGAATTTGTAGCTCATGTACAGACAACTGGCCCAGCTTAAAAGTGGAAATATTTTGAGGACAGATTTTAGGGTTCTGCCCTCAGATTCCTGATAATTTAGATGAATAAATCCCCACAAGGAAAAATTTGGTTCTGCCATATATCTATTCCTTTCTGTCTCCTAAAAATCCAAGTTGATATGTCAGTAGTCCCTAATATATATTTTGTTTATTTTGGTTATCATAAGTGCAGATCATAATACATTAGTTTGGCAAGAATCTGTTTTCAAACATATTGTTGTATTTTTGACTTGGTTTTGAATGGCCCTGACCTCTTACATTTGAGCAGAGCTAATGAATATGGTGTAATGGTAAGCTATATGATTTGTTCATATTGACAGTTTGTAAATACAAAGATGTAAAGTAAGATATTACCAGATATTTTTCTTGAGAATTTTGAAAATTAATAGTTTTACCCTTTACTTATGATTTTGAGACGTTATATTATTATTCCGTGGATTCTGTATTAAAATCATGACTTAGTGACCATATATACAGGTTTTTTTAATAGCTGAACTCTTCTGTCTATAATTTTAAAAGACTTTATGAGTTATCAAATGGTCAGCTGGGTTATGAAG